AGAGACATGGCCAGAAGAAAGCCCAGCTGGTCAACCAAGTACCAGCAGGACTTTAGCCTCTGCTCTCCCTGCAGGGGGATATAAATCAATAAATCACTTCAACATTTCAGCCCCCTCAAATCCAATTACATCTCTTGTCCAGCCCGGGTAGTAAATACAGATATTTCATTATTCAGCCTGGGTAGTAAGTACTCTACACAGGTATTTCATTATTCAAGATCTTTGAGGAAGTGTAATCACAGAACAAGAAATACTAACATTCAGAGGCAATACTCATGTTGTGCACCTTAAAAGCCATATTCATACAGAGGAACTATTTTGATTCCATTCGGTAAACTAAGTAGGGAAGATATTCCCTGCCTCCCCTTCTTCCCCTGAGTATTAATCAATGAAATGAAATCTTAAATAAATTCCATACTTGAACGACCCACGCTCCAACAGTGACGTAGTAAGCTTGACAGTGGTGCTTGTATTCCAGACTAACGTAGGAACAGTGATGTGGTACAGGTTACAGTTCAATTTTTAAAACACTTACATGTCCTCAGCTGACATCTTCATTACTCCCACACATAACGCATGTTGTTTTCCCTCTGCCATTATTGCCTACAAATCACCATTAAGGAAAACAGATTTGTTTTTTTAAAAAAACTATTTCAGAGAAGTAAAAGCAATATGAGGAAATCACTTTCTAAAAAGTTTCAAAATCCCGTGTTGAACTTTTACCCTTTTAGTAATTCTAGAGCTCTAGCTCTTAAAGATAAGCAAAATAACGTGCTGCATTTAACAACTGAATCACAGTGTGCAGAACAAAGCGTGTATTTAGGAACTTCAAACAGCAACTACAGACCAAGATCTCCCAGCGCTACACTCCATTTCTTCCTTTGTGCCTAACACTGAGAGATGATAGTCTCACCCTTTCTGGAACAAAACTGCACATTTGTGGGGCCGTTTTAGATTCTATGGTGCAGAAGAACTGAGACACAAACCTAAAAAAAAAAATACAAGTACTGAAATCAGACTTGTCCTCTTCAAAGCTTAGCAACACGTGATGCTGACTGCTGCTCTTTTCCTGTAGAATCCAACTAACAACAAAAGCAGCACAGCTCAGTGTTACTAACGCTGAGTTTGCTCAGGGTTCCTTTCTCAGTAATATAACGTGCACGAGTCAATTAGCACACTTTCCTCATTCTACATATGCTAATTTCATCCAACACGGAGGAAGTCCTGACTACAGCAAAGCTGATCCTAAACATCTTCCCAAATTCCCTAGGAACAGGAAGAAATTCTTCTATAACTCAAGGAGATTAAGGAGGCACAGGACAGATTACACTGTACCTCATCTATACTCACAGTTCTGCATAAAATGACAAAGGAGCTCCACTTATCAATTAGATTAATGGAACAGCATCCCTCTTGACAGCACGGCAAGAATAATTATTTGGTTTGGAACACCACAGTAAGTAAAAAAAAATTAAGAATCATTCTAACTTTGCTAAATAACATCTGAACCTCTGCAGCTCTGTTCAGATAACTACTTATTCTGTGAAATACTATTAAAATCCAAAGTCATTCAGGTTATGATCAGCTGAGAACACAAGAACAGCAGCAGTAATTTACAGTTAAAGAAGGATACAACAACAGTATCAACGGCAGCAGGGTAAAGTTTTGCTCCAGGAGACGTCAGGCCAGGGCACATTATATTGGCTCCACTCAGCACAAATTTAATGGCTCCTTTATCAACCTGCTGATGTGGTAGAATAAATGGGTCTAGGAGGGGAAAGATACAGCGTTACAATTAACACAGTAAGATGACAACATGAATAACTCATTATCAAGTCAGTTGAGATAGGGCAATTAGATATCTACCAGATATTATATCTAATTAGACACCTAGCGTGCTGTGAGGGTAGGAAGTTTGAGAAACAACTACCACTGGGCTGTACTGTCCTGAAAGGACACAAGGGCCATTCTCCCAGACCACATCTTCTCTCTGAGAACCAAAGGGTAATCCAACGCTTGGATTGGATTACCAGCCTATTGGTTGGATTATCTACCTATTACTGCATACTCATATACCCATATACTGAGTAACAATTTTAACAAGATCCCCCAGCAAAAACAATCACACAACTGGCCAAGTACTGACAGGCCTTAAAACCAAGGAGTCTTAAATCCCTCAAATTACATGTGTAACCTCTTACAGGAAAAAGAAACAGTTCAGTGTTAACAGGACAAAAAATGCAAAGATGGACAAAATTCACGAAGGCTCTTAGCTCTCTAAGCCATCCTTCAAGTGCATGCACCTTCCTGAAGTATTCCAAACATTGAGATTTGACTGAATAACATTTTTAGGGACACCTATGCTCACCCAAATCAGAGTAACACAATCAAGCAGAACAGTGAGAACAGCAAGAAAAACAATACAACAGAGTAAATTGTAAAAAGTAAGAAGCATGAAGCGTAAATTCTCACAGGAGACAAGCACACATTACATCACTAAACTGATGATTAAAGAGTATTTTTCTAATAAGAACCTATAAGTATTTGAAAGGAAGCAAAAAGGGTTTAAAGAAAGACGTAAAAGAAGAAAAACAGGGACTAAACCCAGGAAATTTAGATCTCTGTCCTAGGGAAACCTCTCTCAAGAACTTTTGCAGAGCTTTGCACAGTTTAATTCTTAGAAATCAAAGTTCAAATTGCTTTACATACAGTGTTGTAAAATAACTATGGGGGAAGCAATCCATATAGGCACCTGAAATAGCAAAGCAATAAATTAGCAGTTGAGAAGGTATATCCTATCTTTAGGATCTATTCTGGAACATACATATGCACACAAGCGGTGTTTTTAACTCAGTTCTACAGAAGTCTGGCAGAATCATGCACTCACCCTTCTCTCCCCACCACCACCCGCAAGAAACTTACATTTGTGAAGCAACCTTAGTGTCGGGTAAAAAATCCCTTCTCTTTGTCTGAAGAACAGCAACTCGCCATTCACAGTGAGGATTTCTATATGTTCATGACTGCAAGATGAAAAAAATAATTGTTCCAATAGCTGCTTAAGCCTTTTATAGTTTAAATGAAATACTTCACTTCAGAGTCTGATCTATCGTGGCATCTTAGAATTAAAACAGTCAAGTAGCAAGAAAATTTAAAACTAAAAATACTGGGTTTTTTTTATGGCTTGTTCTTCAACACTGGCCTCCTGCACACTTCCTTCCTCTTAAAAAAAAAAAAGCAAGGAAAAAAAATCTACAGAGAAACATCCAGCTGCTCATAAACTGCATTTCTTTGAGTTTTTTAAATACAATAGAAAGAGCAGACAAGGAGAGGGAATCGGCAAAAATATACTACTCTCTCTTAAAAAAAAAACAATCCAGATAATATATGGAAGTCAAAAACAGTACAAAAATGCTACTGAAAGCTATCCAAACAAGTTTGAGCTTCCATACCCACAAAGCTGGATGCTTTCCTTCCAGAGGAGGCTGAGCCCTGTAGAGTCCCTGACAACACATTACACATTCACTACTAGGCAGTATTTTTGTTTTCTGCAAGCGTCCTGCTAGCATGCCTTCAAGAGCACGATAAGCACGCGCAAACTTTCTGATTTAGTCATAACATTATCTGTAGGAAATGGCAGATGCTTTCCAAAAACACTAGGTCCATCTACTGCCCAAAATAAACATAAAAAGGAATCCTAGCACCCTGGAAGCAAAGGTTAAGACAAAAGAAACTTACCATCTTACTATTTTGACTGGGTCTTTCTTTGGCATAATTTGGTTTAGCCATGGTTCAATAACAGGAAACTGGTCTATCAGTTGATTCTTAATGCCTTTGATAACTGAAGTCTTCAGCTGGATGCAGTTTGATACATTCTCCTTTTCATCAAATCTGTCAAGTGAGTGAAAGTATTTCAGAAAGGCACAACTTGCTGCCCGAAACACGCTGTGTCTCAGTACCGTTCTTCAGAAACGTCTGTAAATTCTCTACAAAACCTTGGCCGTACTGCATCTGTCCGACTTTCAAATCTCGGATTTCATGGGGCTTAAATTTGTCCCCTGGGAACTCCGGCCTGGGGAAGGCAGGAGGGCTCGCACTAGCAGGCTTTGTCCCTAAACTTTGTGCGCATCCATGAAACACGCTTTCAGTCTCCCAGACGCACCTGGGCACACAGCCTTACTTTGCCCAGCTCGCGGACTTCACTGGTAACACGACCACCCACAGCCCCGCTCAGGTGCGTCTGAGTCCTTCACCACCACCACCGAAGCACGAACCGCGCTTTGTCCCGCCCCAGAGCCCAGACGGGCTGAGGGCTCCGCTCACTTTCCAGTTTTTCCCTTCTAACAAGCAAACGCCCCAACAGCCCGAGGGCGGAGCTGGCGGCTGCGGGCGCGCCCCGCGGGGGCCGGCGGGGAGCGGAGCTGGCCGCTCC